TTGAATTTGTGCGTTTAGTTCCTTTCTCCTGGTCGCATTAGCAGGCATCCTTGTCAAAAGTGTCATGGGATTTTGGTGACTTCGAAAAGTTCTTGACGATTGCATTGGTATTTATAATGCCAGACCCACCAGACAATCTGTTTTTTTATGTTTTATTGCCAAGAGAATGAACAATCTTAGGATTGATCTTCTTCCTTTTCAGTCTCTTATGCTGCTTGGTTTTCCCATTTTTATTAACTCAAATTTAAACCTAAAAGTTAATAATTTTTATTCAATAAAAAAAAAAGGAAGGTAAAGTATTGTAAATTTGGCACAAATTGTACAGTTCCAGTGAATAATATTATCAATATTACGGCAGTTATTGTAAGCATGATACAATTTCTTGAGAATTGATGCCAAAAATTCAAGAAAAACTCAATTGATTCAATTAAAAACTATTTCATAATTTGTTTGCACCATTTATCAAAACAAAATCTGTAACATATCGGCAAACAACCAAGAATAAATGCAAAAATCTCAAGTGACTGCAAAAAAGCACAGTTCTGAAAGAGGCAAACAAGACAAATTTATTTTGAATGACGTAGCATATAGTGAAATATGCATGGAATAAATATTATTTAATAAAAGCAATTAAATCAGTGATTTTCAAAATAATCCATAAAACTGTAAAGGGTACATGACAACTTTCAAAGAGACTACGGTAGTGGATAACACACCATGATAATACCTATTCCCTTATATTATACTTTCTATATTGAACAATTACATACTATATAAAGAGACATACAAACTAAAAAAAATACTGTACGTTTCAATAAAAATGTGTAAGATGCTGCAAATGGATTTGATTTGTAGTCGCAATATGTTTGAACTCATAAAGACCCTTTTATGCTAGCTGTTGAAAGACATAGTATTACTGGATACTAAACATTGAAATTTATAGAGTCAATAATTGGATGAATAATTTGGATTAGCGCATGATTGGACATCAAGCCGAGATGTACAATTAAACCTTACAAAATTGTAGCCAAATGTTGATAAATAAACATTTACTTACCACTTACTTCATTGTTTTTTACTTTAAATCTTTAATACTAAATTTTATTTTAGTTAGAAGTTTATATAAAAAAACGATATCGAATAAATAAGGGAGCCATGGCAAAGTCCAAGGGGTCCAAAAAAAGCTAGGGGGCCTATGAATGAAACAGTATCTCATACTGTTCACAACTCCTGTATTTTCATCGCATCAAAATAAAATGCAAAAATGTCAAAAATAATTTAAAATTTCTTACCATTATACGATATAATAGTCTTCCTTCTAAAGATCTGACAATACGAGCCAGTCAACGACGTACAAATCATATCAAAGTAAAAAAAGTATATTAAAAAAAGTTACTATTTCAAAAGGACATTGTGTAAAGGTTACGTGTCACGGCTAATACGATCAATTTTATTTCTGAAACTTTTAATTTTGAAACAATGCATTAATTTTACTGAAATACTAAAATTTTGATTTTAACAGATGACAAACCGGCGTGTGAGATAATAAAATGTGTCCATAGCGTAAAGCCGACTTCAGACCAGTTCCAACATTGAAAAAATAAAAAATAGAAGTGTCAATTTTGCGCAATGACAGTTGACAAACAGTTTTAAAAATGACTGCGAAACAAAATATTAAAAGAATACTCTTTTTCATTTAGAATTCTTTCTAGTGCTTTACTACAACTGTTATTAAATATGTCATATTAATGTGAATAATTACCCAGTCAAAGTAAAAGAAAGGGTGTTGAAATCATCAGTTTGAATATAATTTTGAAAGTCCAACATTGTATTTACTTGTATTTATTATTATTATTTTAGTATTTAATTATATTCTATTTTAGGGATTATTTTGTGTATTAATATTATATTGTATTACTATTGTACCAATTATAGTAGATAATAGCAGCTTTCTCGTGGGTAATTATACGATGATTGTAAGCTGATATATAAATTAGTTATATTAAAGGCAACACATGTTCATTGAACCTTATTTACATACACACATATTTAGTTTAATCTTATTAGTTTATTGTTATTGTGAATAGTGTACATTCACGATGAGTCAAAGAAATTGACTTGTAATATAGAATATATAAGATAACATAGATAATGATTAGCATTTGCAGTAACGTACCTAAAAATTATACATTTTTTTCAAAATTGTTATGCATGTAAATATGATGAAATGGACAGAAGTTGGAGTTTGCTTGAACAAAGCTTCAAAGAAACTGATGAAACAACGACTATAGATTCATGCACAAGTGGTGAAGAAGACGATTATGAATTCCCACCTGTAAAACGTCCAAAATCAAATTTCTCCACACCATATAGTAGTCACAAAAATGTTACAAAACAAATCAGTTTTCAAAACAGCAATGTGTTACGTGCATATAACAGTAATCCAGTTCCAAATACTAGTTCAAGTTGTCAATTATTTAGCAATGATGATATTAATGATGTATCATCTGATGATCTCTTTGATGATAAAGATATATCACCTAGCTCGAGTCCAGCTCATTCACAATTTGCACAGACACTTTGTACAATAGCATCAACCACTGCATTTGCGACAAACACACCACCAAAAGTTATTAAGAAAAAATTCGTTAAGAATGGTTTAGCCATGAAATGCCAAGCACTAATGAATCAGCAAAAATCTGCTATGTTTTTATTAAGTTATCCTGATGCAGAAGATAATAGTATAGAGTTGACCATCAATAAAAAATCTGAAGAATATGGAAAATGCTTCATACAGAGTGATCACAATATTGTAATACTGAAGCCAGAACAAGCAAAACAATATAGCACTGGTGATAGACTTAAAATAACCAATAGTACAGAATTTATTTCTATAAAACCATCAGATTCAGTACTAAATGTATATTTAAATGTCTGTCATATTGACTCAATAGACAATAAAGATGAAAAACAATTTAGTTTAAAAACAAAATGACTTGAATTCTATTTATTCGATTTATTTCTTCAGTGTATAAAATAATGTACTTAAAATAAATACTAGTTAACAAATTTTGTTTTATATCATTTAACAGAAATTAAAGCATAACATCTAGGTGATATAACAGGATCAAAAAGTTTGATCAAATATGTATTATTATAACCATTCTCCAACAAGTACAAGTAACGATCTAAAACTATAATTAATTCTAAAATAGGTGCAAAGCACATTTTCAAAGCATGATAGCTTTGTAATTTTAACCAATTTTCTTCATGATTTTTTATAAGATCCTCTAAAAGTTCATCTGAAAATTTCAAGCCTAAGTTCTTTCTCTCTGAAACTGTATTTACATATTCTGAAAATGTTTTACATTTTGCGCCAATTCTGCCTACATGCACATCCAAATTTTTGTCACAATGTTTATGGATCAGTAATTCCAGAACAGCCCTATATAGTAGACTTTTATTTAAATTTTCTTTCAAGTGCACTTTACGATCTATTGATTGAGAAGCTAGCATTCTAGCATTTCTGCCTAATGCAAATTTATCCATATGTAACAAATTGCTCATTGGAAAACCATAATTATTGCTAGTTGAATCTGTATCATCATATTGCTCGTCCAATAAATGGTAACAACATCCAACATTTAAAATGGATTTGACATCATTGTTGCTACTATATATTCGTAAACTAGAGGAAGCCAAGTTGCCACAAGTATGTAGACCAGTCATGCAAATCCCAGAAAATTCATCATTTGGATAAGATTGTTTCACTAATTCCTTTAAATTGGTTGATTCATCTACATATTGAGTTATTAGTTTATATAATTCATCTTGTGATGAATTACTAATAGCCATGTCATTGAGATGTCGAGACAGTTTACTTGTTATGCCTTGCCAATGTTTCTAATTTGATAGAAGAATAATTATATTTTATAAATTATTCTACTAAAAAATAAATGATACCATGCAAAAGAAAATCTAATGTACTATATATTAAATTAAAAAAAAAAACTATTTAATGTAAATAAAAGCAACAGCAATTCAATATTTGTTTAGTAAGCAAAACTATTAAAGATTGAACGTTTGTTTTATTGGAAGATTCTCTTAAATTTGAAGTTGTAGTGAATTACCTTCAATTTCAAATCTCTTTTGCTGCACCATGAGTGTTCGTCTGGTTTGAATCAACTCCTATTACTTTAAGCTTATATTCCATTGCTAAGAGTGATGATAAATAACCTTTACCTCCACCTATGTCAACGACAGTCAATGATGATTCTGAATTTCTGCATAAAAAGTTTGTAATTGCACTTACAATATTCACCTGGATAAACAAAATTAGATTTTATCAGAAACATAATTATTAAAATATACATTTAACTAAATTTACCTCATGAGTCTTTTGTCAGACATTATTTTTTGTAGACCTTCTAATGGTAAATAATATTTATTTATATTTAATTTTAAACACAAATCAGATAATGTAGGGCATACATCACCATCAAGTAATTGCAAAGAATTTGTACTCTTCAAGAAATTTATTGTGTTTTTATAACCAGAATTGAACTGAGTTCCAGAATATATGTCATGAAACAAAGTCATAAATGCTTCATGACCCATATTTTCAATCTCGATCCGAACATCATTAGGTACAAACTTCAACCAATAATTATCTGTTAAAAAACTCACCATGTGAGAGTTAAGAAATGGTAGAAACGGTTTGACAAATTCTACAAGACTTAAAAGTTTCTTTTGTACTAGAATTATTTGCTCCATATTTTAAAAATTTATTAAGTCTTTGTCTGGGTAATCACATTTAATCTTTAGATATGATAATGATTTTTTATAGGAACTTCTTATGCATCGTAATGAAGCTTCCAAGTCTATATTATCAACATTAGTTTGTGGAAATTCCTTAATCAATTTCACTGTTTCTTGAAGAGAATGACAAGCTTTCTCTGAACATTGTAGCATGTTTTGGTCTTTTAGACCAATTAATGATTTAATAACGCTATACATAAAGCCTAGTTCAGCTCCATATTCAGCCCCTCGATGATAACCTAAATGAAACCCTTCTAAGTTGCCATCGCTTTTACCTTTTTCTACTCCGTCCTTGTATCCTTAAATAGAATTAAATATCATTAAGGATAAAGTGAAATTATAAGCAAGGAATTAAAACCTTTTTGGTAAGAAGTATCTTCGCACATCAATAAATTGTCGAAAACATCATTAATATCCATTTCACGTTTCAACGTGTGTACATACTTGTCAAACATCGTATCATTAGCACGAGCACGTGCTGCTGTTCACGTCATTAATTGGTCGGTTTATAACACGCGGTATCGTTTTCTTTATACCATCCATAACTGACTTCATTGATAACGATGAATTAATACGCGCCAGATTTAATCGCGCATTGTGCATAGATAAACTAGAGGTGTAGGGCACCGTGCCTTAAGGCAAATTGCTGGAACCTCCCGTACCATTTTTTATTTTTTTTAAAAGAAATTATTTTTTTTTTTTGATTTTTTTGAGAAATTTAAAATTTTTGGTCAAAAAAACTTTTGGAAAAAAATTTTTTTTTTTATTTTGAAATATTTTGGAAATTTTGAACGTTTTTCCAAAGCAATCGCACTGCTTTAGCTGCATACAGACAAATTATCGAAGCGCGTAAGCGCCGCGTCGTCGTCTAACGGACAAACGATGTTACGGAACCCATAGAAATGTAAACAGAATTGCTACACATTATTAAAATCTCTATAAAATACCTGATAATTCAACTTACATATGTCTAATGATTATTTTTGACCGCCAAATGGCATTTTTTTTACTAGATCTCCGAAACCGCGAGACCTGCCTTCCCAAAAATTAAATCAGTTCTTTACCTTGTCAATACAAGTAAAATGTTTTTTGAATTATTAAAATCGGACGCTCCGTTCTCTTAAAAACTGAGTTATCGTTTTTAGCACTTTTTGTTCCGTATCTTCGGAATCGCTGGAACCTGCCTTTGCCAAAAACTAAACAGCATGTCTCTCCCCGTCATTAGGAATCGAATGTTTTTTGAATTTGCCAAAATGGATGTATGTGAATTGTATTTTACACACACATCCATTATGGGAAGTTAATAACTATATGTTTAATCTTCACAAACTTCATCAAAAACAAATTTTTGAAATATTGATATATCTTATTCAATTTAGAAAACTGTATTCTAATTTTGCACGATTATCAGTCGCTCATCATGCCAGCATATCAACCAATATAATTAAACTAAAATATAAACTGATCTCAGATCGATCTGATTCTCAAAAAAAAAAAAAAAAAAAAAATAAGTACTTAAAAAAAATATGTATATACTAGCGTAAGCAAACAGGTCAACACATGCTTGTTTAATGGTATCTGTCAGAATTGGAAACAATTCAATGAATAATGAAACTAAAAAAGAATAAAGAGGAAAAAAGCAATCCATAATAATAAAAGAAAAATTCCCCTATGCTTAAACTGTCGATTTAATAGCCATAAATTCTTGTTCCTGAAATTAAGTTCATAAAATAATTTCATTATTTTTCAATTAATTTAATCTAAGGCAAATTTGGGCTTTTGATTCTTTATTCTGTAGATGTTTAATATAAAAATTAAGCCTGACAACAGAAAGAGCAAACAGAATATTTTAGTCAGGCCACATGTCCAATTCTATTTAACTCATTTGAACCAAAAGATTCTTTATTTAGGACCCCTCATGTAAAATTGAATTGTAACAATATTATATTTGCAAAAAAAAATCGTTCAAGCATTAAAATTTATGATAAACTTGATTTGACTTTTTTCCACAAAAATATTAATGTTATAAAGTATACAAATTTAACAAGTCATAAATGATAAATTTTGAAATATGCGGTTGAACAAAAATAAAATGAACAAAAACGTTTCTTATAATTAATAGATACCAGAAAATCTCAGGTAAATAATTGTGACGAGATAAATTAGTATCTATTAAGTATCTCAGAAACAATAAATACATAATATATATAAAAGTACGTCATCTTTAACTCTGCATGGAGCAGGAAAAATACAAAGTTTTTTTTTTGTTTTAAATTCTATTAAAGAAACTGCACCCCTCAGTAATTTTGGTAAATAGCTGAATTGGCCTAAATTTACAGTTTAAATAACAGAGCAGCATTTGTAAACAATGTCCTAATACCCTTGCATAATGAGTTCAAAATAAAATTAATTGTATATTTTTCTGTCAATAGGTCCAGGTATTAGACTAATTGAGGAATGTGACTATGAAATCATATAAGGAACAAGTTGATCATGTAAGTTCATTTTTCTCTCTATCATAATATGAACCTTGCTCTTAGTCAATAATTTAAAAACAAAAACACTACAGTGTTTCCATTCGGTTCAGTCATAATTAATAACCATCAACAATTAGACGTCTTTCTACTCTCTTTTACAATGCAATGATGGAGTGTGTGACAACAGCTCATTAAATTCTTTAACAATCAACGAAAAAAAAAACAAATTTTCAGTCATCCTTCCACCATTGGGGAAATCTCACTCCAACTCTATCCATTCTTACTTGACTCATATGTACAAACAGCAGCAACTTAAACAACACACAATTTCACATTCACAACAATCGCGCACACAACTGACACTTCAGAATCCACTATGACAGATACTAACAATAGTTTTTCAATTAAATTTTTCTTATTGGGCATGATGCTGACTTGCTGGATGACTCTGTAACAACAACTGTATATGATGTGGCTGATGTGGGGGCCCTTGACTGTGAAGGTACTGCGGCATGACATGTGGAGGAGGACCTGGCAGCAAGGGACACATTATAGGAAATTGTGGCCCTTGCGGTGGAGCAGGAGATGGCTGAGGTGCCCCAGGGTGATACTGCCCAGGTTGACCGGGTGAAGGAGTTGTTGACTGTGGTGGTGGTGCCAAGTACTGCAGTTGGTGCTGTGGTGGACTCTCATGATGTATCATTCGCATCTGAAAACCAAATATAATTGTAATTTTTCAGTAACATTTGCAAGTTATTATGTAACATGGGTTATTGGTTTATTTGAATTTAACCTACATTTTGAGTTTAGAATTTTTATTCATTCATCATAAAGTTAATATTTATGCCCAATTTATATACAAACCGTTTATGTTCACAGAAAATAAATTCATATCATGTGAATTATCTACTTACCCCAACCATTTGATGATGATAAGGTTGAGCTTGAAGATGCTGTGGATGCGGTCCTTGTGGATGATATGGCATAAACTGTTGCAAAGGTGCAGGGGCTAATAACGGCTGACCAGTTGCTGCAGCTACTTGCATTTGAGATGCTGCCAATTGCACTGCAAAATTTTGTACATTTGTCATAAATATCAGAAACATTTTCTCAAAATCATATAATATTCTTATATGGAGTGTCCCAGGGCTCAACATCAAGCCAAAATGTGACAGTATCAATCGCAACTATTATGATTTTTTTTTTTTATCTTATGTAGTTTGAATATCATGAGCTTTTAATTAAGTACAGCTTAGAGTTCTGGTCAAACTGTGATTGTTTTTTGGTTATTGTGATTAATTTTTATTATTTTTGTTCATTTAAACCATAATCGTAAATAATGTTTTTAAGACCACAGTAAAAGATTATAATATCAAATTTGTCTCAAGTTTGCTAAAATTTAGATTACTTGTTAAACTTTGAATTATAAATTTTTGAAGTTGATGAACATTGAAATGCCCTCCTTTAAAAACATGTACATGTCAGCAAGTTCATTAAAAGTTTGCACAGGATTGTAAAAAGACACAATTACTTGATGGTTTCATGCAAAAACAGACAAAATAAATAAAAACCTAAAAAAAACTTAATATTTGCTAACACATTTCATTCAGTTCAAATGTTTATATTCCCAAAAGTTCAATAATGAGATAGTAGACATATTTACCACGAGTAAGCAAATGCATTACAAAAAATTGTGTAATTTCTATATTTTTTTCATTATTTTACTTGTTTTATTTCTTTAATATGAACTAGCAAGTATTGTATGAAGTATTTTTCAAACAACAGAACTCCAAAGCTCGTGACTTTCAAACTGGATTTTTTTTTATCAGGGGACAACCTGTATATGAAGTAATTGTAGATTATGCAATAAGAACAATAGTAGAAAAAAATGAATTATGAAATGTGATTATTCTACATTTAATTTTCGTATCCTGCATGTTATTCCATAACTCAAGTTTTTTTTTTTCCAAATGATGATAAATATTTTACTCACAACCTTTCCTGAATCTGTTAGGTTGACCAGCATGTCCATGCTGAGTAGGTGAAGTCTGATAATGAGCAGGCTGTGAAGGCATTACATATGGCAATACCATTGTGGGTAATGGCGGTCCAGCTAAATGGCCTCCATGATAGCTAGCTATAGAAGTACCTTGTTGGGCCAAAGTTGGTCCAGGAGTTTGTGGTGTATGTGGCCTATGTAATTAAATGAATTACTATTAGTTTATTGGCCGCATAAGTAAGTACATAGTACGATAAATATATGTATGTTTAAAAAATATATTTTTGTCAACTGAATTACTTGGTTATTAAACTCGAGTAATACTTTTAGTCATAAAATTGCATAATATAATAACCATTTGAAATTTAAAAAGAAACCTAAATTGAAAAAATCACAAAAAACATGAATACTAATGAAACATGTCATTTTCACCTTGATGGATTTGGTGTGCTGGGACTTCTTGGAGTAAACGGCTTTGCAGATGGATTGAATACAAATTCTTTTGCATTTGGATTTAATGTTGATTTTTTCAAACCCGAGGATAATTTATCAACAGATTCTGGAGAAGAACTCTGATTAGGTGAACTATTTTGTTGCTCAGGAGAACTAGATGGCTGTTGCTGATTGGATTTTGACGCAGAATCATTTTGCTGCACAGACACAGCACTGGTCACAGGTATTTGAGCTTGTTGATTATTTGAAGTTGCATTTTCATATCTACTCTGTGCCTGATGATTATTTGCTTGTATTTGTTGAGGAGGGGACTGTTGGTTTTGAGGGGGAGCTAGTTTGAAATCTTGCTGGAATTTTCTAAAATCCTTGAATTGAAAACAATGCGTGTTAATGAAATAATAGTAATAATAGTAAATAAATAATAGTAATGATAGTAAATATAAATAGGGGATAACTTACTTGTACTTGTTCATCTCTAGGAGCTCTTCTACTTGAAGGCATGTTTTGTTGCACATTTTGTAAATTTGATGGTGGTTGTTGTGGTGGTTGTTGCACAACTGTGATGGGTACGATAGTTTGCTGGTGTGGCACACCAACCTGCAAATTAAAAAACAACTATGAACACTTAAGTCTAAGTAATCAGACAAAATGGTTTTTCAATTAATTATGATCTACTATGAAACAGAAGCATCTCATAATTTGCAGCTTTTACAATGTAATAGTGAATACAAGTTTAAAAATATTTTAATGCAGGCATTATGCTTGTTAAGAAATTATATTTACCACAATCATCCCAGCAGCAGGTGGCGGTCCCGCTATGTGTTGTTCTGCAGGAATTACAGCAATAGGCACACCAGTTACTTGATTAGTTTGCTCAGCTTGCGGTTGATTATTCTGTTGCATAACAGGTTGTGCTTGTGCTGGTGCTGCACCAGGTGGAAGACCAGATAATGAAATTTGCTGAACAACTGGCCCGGTTGTAGGCTGAGCCAAGTGTGGTGGAGGCACATGAATGGGTGGTTTTCCCAGAGGGATCTAATCATTCATTATGCATATTTTCAATTATTATCTATATTATTTAATTCACAAAATAAGAAAGAAAAAAAAATCTCTTATACTAACAGGTGCACCCATCGTTGGTGGAGGCTCTGTAAAACTCTGTGGGGGCTGTCCAGGTGTAAAATTGCCCCTAGGAGTTCTTTGTGGTAAAGGTTTTGCACTAGTAGCGTCTCCATTTAATTTTACAGGCATTTGGGGCGGTGGTTGGCTGAAATATTGAATGGCTTGTTTATAGAAAAGATAGAGATCTTAATTTATGGTCGTCAATAGATTCTTGTATTTGATATACTTTGAATATTCATGTTTTCATTCATATAACTTGTTAATATGTTGATGAAATTATATTGATGAAAACACTAATATGAATACAATTTTTAAAGAACTTTTAAATACAAAATATATAAAATGCACTACCTATGCAAAAGTGTAAATGGTGGAGGTGCATGTTGCATATATCCTTGTGGTACAGTTCCTGGTATATTCACTGGTGTTCCAGGCATTTGCTGTTGAGGAGGCGGCCCAGATACAACCACTCCGCCTCCAGAAACTATAGCAGATGATGGAGGGGATACACCACTATTGTTTTGCAAGTTTGGCGGGGGCACACTCACGGGATAAGGTGAAGCCTTATTGATTTGCACATTTGGCAAGGCAGGACTTGTAGAAGCTACTGGTGGCGGTGTTGATCTGCAAGATATTAAAATATTTCAAATTCAAATGACAATAAGTATTATTGACAATAAGTATTAATAAAATAAACTAACTTTGTTGAAGTCATTAAATACATAATCAATGCATCTGTAAAGTTTTAGTACCTCACTATTTTTGCTGTTTGTGCCGTCTTTCGCTTAGCCGGAGGCACATATTTCTCACTATTGCCCCCTGTTCCTTCCCCGATATTATTTGTAGTTTGGTCATTAGAAGAGGTGGGACTATTTCTTTCATGTCTCATACCTCTATTATTGTTACGTGAATGATTATTGCTACCTTCGCGAGAATTATTATTGTTATTACTATTACTAGAAGAGTTATTATCTGATGGTCTTGTGACAGCTGCGTATAAATCTTCTTCATCACCATTTTCCAAATCAGCTCTTGTTTTATGTGAGGGCTGACTCTCTATTTCATTTGCTATTTCTGCAGCTTTAGCTTCAGCATCACGATAGTCTTGTGTGTCCTTACGTTGAAGTTGTAAAGTATATCCTATAAAATGTATATAAATACATGTAATGTAATTGAAATTTAACAATATATCTTGTTTAGTACAGTATAACAAAATTTGATAAAGACAAGTAGAATATGCCAATACTATTTTTATTAGGAATGATTAAATAAAAAAAATAATATGATTACCTGTTAGAGATTGATCAAATGTTGATTGCACTCCATAAACCGTTTCATTTTTCCTAAACATATCATTTACATCCCAACCATTAGCTGATTGATCTAAATCTAGAGAGCACTCAATAGCATCACCATTAACAGCTCCTGAACCATCCCATGGTTCTAACTTTTTATCTTCAGAACGCGCTGGTTGACCTTGAAAATAAAAGGTAAAAAATTTATTTATTATAATTTTTATATATATAATTTTTATTATATTTATAATTATTATAATTTTAATTAAGTAGCACATTCTACATTCTTCTTAAGTAATCTCTATTCCTTGTTCACATGTATGATGTATTTGATTTTACATACTAATAATTTCTTCAAAATGCACCGCAATTGTAATAATAATATTATTGATAACTACATAAAGTATGTTAAGTTACTTTATTTGTGAGGGTAGAAAGTTAGTTTAAGTTGTAACTACTATTGTTTTTACTTGATACGTACCATTAAATTTGGAGATAGCAGTATCTGTTTGAAATGTATCTCTAGTAGCATAGTCAAGATCCACGTCTTTGGCAACAACGCTTACAATATCACTATGTCTGAATATAATCTTATCAACTACGGTGTCAACACATATTTCTGCATCGCTTCCTTGGTCTGGATCTAGCCTGTGGGCCATTTCTAAAACCAACTAAAATCCAATATTGGTTTATTTAACTTTATATGTCTTTAAAAACCATAAATATAGACAATTAGACTTCAATAATATTATTTACTGCGACACAAAGCGCCAATATGAACCAATCGTGAGATTTGGGTAAACCACCAATTTTACAATGAAACTCTCACTTTTAATTGGATTATTAAAGTATCATTTGAGAAAAAAAAACTTAAGCTATAATCTAACTATTTTCACATACACATGATCAAGTAAATCAATCAAACAAATCAAACAATGACACTAAATGTTCTTCGCTAAGAATAAAATTTTTGCCATTGTATTTACCTCAAACTTGCTAGAAAACGTCCTAAAAACTCCTTCCCATTTTACACCAGATAATGTTTGAACTTGTACTGTGTTTCCTACATGTGTGGTAGTTGCATGCATAAAATGGGCATTATTGTATACTCCGTCTGTGTTAACAGTTCGACCTCTGCTTTGCCTTGTAAATAAAAAAATATATGTAATATTCTTTGAATAAAAAATATGCATATATATATAACATAAAAACAGTTTAATATTCAATGAATACAATATGTTGCTTAAGAATTTATGACGCCATGAGATAGCTTTACAGCTGACAGTTTAATATCTTCTAATAGGTATTATAAATAGTTTTTTAATATAGATAATTAGATAATGCCAATATCATTAAGTTATTCATCGACTGCCATATGTAACATAAGCATCATATATTATTTAAGCTTATGATTATTTATGTTAAAAGCCATTTCTGTTATGATTCTTGATGTCATTTAATACACATTTACAGAAACTTTATCAAGATACTCTTCAAATATAAAATCATGTCGTTGGTCATAGCTTCGTGCAACAGCACTTTATACACACAAGAAAACTAAATTTCATGGTCCTTGATTTAGGAATATAAAGCAATCAAGTAAATTGAATATTCAAAATGACAAAGGTGGTATGTAAAATAGTTAAGAACTATCAACTAAAAGAGAGCTGTCGTAAACTAAGGGATATTTGACAGCTAACCTATAGTTTTTTATAATTTAAAACTCATTAAGAAACATTTCATGATTAAATAGAGCACTCAAATCATAAGAATCACAGTTTGTTAGTAATTCTGCACTGAAAACATAATATATTGCAAATGAACAAATGCAACCTCGAAACTTCTAATAAGGATAATCATTGTCAAGCATCTTCTGTACAATTAGTAAAATTACATTTACAATAGCTTATTTCCAAACAGCGTACAAATATAATGAATAAACTACCGTAAAAGCAAAATTACCTTTTATGTCAAATGAATTTTAACAATGGTAGGTCATTTACCTGGCGGGGCCCGTTCGATTTTTCCTATTCTTATGCATATCGGCGCCTCCCGTGTGCCCTGGGGGGTTGACGCCTTCTGTTTTCCACGTGGGGACCGGAATTTTGAATGCTTGCAACTTTCAACACAACTCAAAAGACTAAGACACTAGATGCGCTCAATACACGACAGTGCAACTCTTTTAATTAACTTAAAGAACGTTCAACAACAAACTATAAAAACGCTTGTTTCAAATTGTTTCACGTTTATAAATACTGTTTTCCTCCTTAGAACAAATGATTGAAAGATTACTCAAAAGATTAAATATCGGGAAATTCGCCCGAATTAGACGGATAGCAGGTTGTCCGTGCCTGCAATTTTGCGAATGAATACAAAATGGCTGAATGACGTAATCGATATGTATTTAATAAATGCATATAATTTTGTATTAACTATTTATTTATTTAGTTCACTTTCTTTTGTGTCGAGTTCAATTGATGATGACATGAAGTTTAATTAGATAATTTTGGATACTTGATATTTGTAAGATGTACTATTTCTTCGAACATATACATCTTATTTCGCCATTGATTCAAGTAAAACGCGGCAAAATCGGTTTTGACAACTAGGTTTCATTATAAGCCCAAAAGTTAATAATACTTGGTAAACTTGTTATAAAATGATCTTCAATTAAAGTTTGCTTATTCAAGGTTAGATTTTCGAACCTTTCGTATTGCAATCCAATATGTACTTTTTGTATGTAAAAATATTCTACTTCTGTAATGTTGTAATTACAACTCTAGCTAACGAATTAATAAATTACTAGTATTTAAAACAAGATAGATTATACTTTTAGATCTTTTACGATGATCTTAAAGCCTAAACAATCCTAAAGGCATCTGTTTGTCAATCATCAATATTTTTCACACTGTAGGTGTTGCCAGATGAAAGCCTGTGTTCTCACATGGTAGCGGCGCCAAAATCAAATTTGTTTAAAATTCATTTTTCTTTAAGCGTAAGTAGTAAAACTCAAACAGACAAGTTATGTGTTGAAAAAATTCAGCATATGAACATCATTCTCTTGTCATAGAAAGCTATTAAACATTTTCTGATTAATTATTTGTAAACTAATTGTAAAACTAGTGGTGTATGGCATCGCGCCTTAAGGCAAATTGCTGGAACTTTCCGTACCAGAATTATATATTCGAGAGAAAAAAATTAGTAATCAATAAAAATTGATTTATAATTTACAATAATTATTTTATACATTTTCAAATAGATAATTAGAATCACTATATATTTTATCGTTCATAAAATATATAATACAGGGACAATCTTATCGCTCAAAACAATTGAGAAAATTTACATTAGCAGGTGGTGAATGAATGAATCCGTCTGAGGATATATTTCTTACGATTAAAATACCGCATTTGAAATATACACATTTTGAAACTAAATTGTAAATTTAAAATTCATATTTGAAGTATAAAACTTTGTGTATTTTTGAAAATTTTGAATTTTTTTTTTCGGAAGATTTTTAAATTTGCTTGAACCGTATAAGGAAATTTTAAAAATTGAAAATCTTGATAAAGAACTCAACAAAATTGTAACAAAAAAAATTAGCACTCAATTTGAAAAACTTCATCAAATATCTGATAATTAGATGTGCATACGTCTAATGTTCATTTTTGACTACCAAATATCATTTTTTTACATTTACCTCTGTATTTTCGAAACTGCTAGACCTGTCTCACCAAAAGTTTCAACAACTATTCATTTTATCATTACAAGCAAAATGTTTTTTGAATCATTCAAATCGAGTTCTCCGTTCTTTCAAAAACTGAATGACCGTTCTTGACACTTTCTGCTCCATATCTCCGAAACGTCTAAACCTGTCTTCACCAAAAACTAATCAGCACGTCTTCATATCAATAGGAATCAAATGTTTTTTGAAACATTCAAATCGGTTGATTTGTGCGCCCGAAATCGTGGACGAAAAATTGTATTCAAACATACATACATTCTACACACACATACATACAAATACATCATTTTTTTCTGAGGTATGCCAAATTGTTTAAAAACCTTTGAAACGTAAAAAAGATATGCAATAATTTGCATTTTCGATTTTTTTTGCGATTACTATAACTCATCCTATGGGAAGTTAATAAATTTCTGTTTCCCTTTTCATCATATTTTTATTCAAATATTTATAAATAAAATTAATTTACATTTATATAAAATATAATTCACAATTTGTAAGCTATGGTGTTATATATCAAAACGTGTTTTTATTCATTTTTGGAATTTTGGACAAGATTAGTTTGATTGCAGACAATTTGAACCTATATCAAACATGATTAATTTGCGCTTAAATGTATTTTCATTTGCAATAAATTTTACATGATACAGTTAATTAACTGGTTTACCTTTTACATTTTTGTTTCTCCGTAGACAGTTTGTGAGCTGGAACTACGAGTCTTTAAATTTTTCAAGTTTGAACTATCAGGTTGAATTATCATCGGTTTCACCAGATCATCTTGTTTTGCTGAACGTTTAGTTCCAAGTTTGCTAGTTTTAATATCGGATTCATCAATGCCTACTGCATTCTCCTGAATTGTAGAGGCAAACTGACTATTATCAAATTGGGTAAGTCTTGCAGATTGACTTCCAGATGCAGGTAAAATGTTAGATAACAAGTTCAAAGGATTTAAGTTTGATAAAAAATCAGTAAACGCAGGTGTTGCTACAGTAGTAGTAGTAGTTATTTCAACAGGTCTTGTTTGTGGCGTTTGCTCGTAAAAACTGGTCTGAGGAAGTTGGCCATATGTGCTAATTTGAGGAATTTGTCCATATATACTTGTCTGTGGAATTTGGCCATAAAAACTAGTCTGAGGAATTTGCTGGTAAACAGTTGGTGCAATCCTCTCGTTCGGTTGACTGCTAGGTACGAACCTATTTACAAAATTTCTGATAGTTGGCGTAATTTTATTTGCAATATCCGAAAATAGATTAGCTGAAGGTTCTGTAAATTCGGAAAATTGTCCTTGTGTTGGTCTAAGAATTTCTGGCGAGAACACTCCTATTGGAATTGGAGGTTGACTATATATTGGTGTCTGAACTTGACCATATGGAATATACTGAGGAATTTGTCTGTATACAGGCTTTGGCGTAACTTGTTCTGTAGTAGGCAGGATATTGCTTGGTATAAAACGATTCACAAAATTTCTTACAGTTGACGGTATTTTACTTGCTAATTCAGAAAACAAGTTAGCTGATGGTTGAGATTCTGTGAATTCTGAAGACGGTACTTGCTCTGTCTGAAATGTTTGTGGCGTGGCCTGCGGCTGGTAATTGTAAAACGGTTGAGCATATTGAGTCGTAAAAACTGGTGCTTGATAGATTGGCGGCAGGTAGGGTACTCCTGTTGTAATTTGAGGGTAAATTGGCTGTTGGAGGCTGGGTCTAAACTGTAAATTAAAAATAACTGAATATATTCATCAAATATTCAAACTATTTAAAATATTATCAAATTGTTTCATATTATCATCACCAAACTCACAGTTCTTCGTGGTGGTCCATAAGTCCTTGCAGGTATTCTGCGCGGACTGTAACTATACGATGGAACTGGATATGAATAAGAATTTCCTGATATAGGATTTTGGGATCCTGTGCCAGATTCTGGAGATAAAGGTGTTACTGCAGTATTCTCTTGGGGTGCTGCTAGTATTGTTGTAATAAAAATTTGAAGCAGAAATAAAATTCTCATCTTATGGTAAAGCATTATTCAATCCGTATTCTTGATTTATAGCTAGAAAAAAACAGAACATAATGTACTAAAAAATGATAAATGATAAAGAAATTAATAATATTATTTTTATCTCACCTTTATGTGAAATCAATATTTAAAATAACTGATTCCCTGTACACAAGAAAGCAATTTATATAGATGTGGTCTTTGTGATAAAAAGTGGGGTAAATCATTCATGATAGCATCATTGGTCTACTGGAAATGACTGATCTATTTACATATGTTTAATCGAACAAATTTATCACATATAAATGATATAATAATATTACAAGATTGATTGAGAGCTGTGTTAACTATAAGCCTATATTATTTTTGGGAGCTGTTATATCAATGTTTGCTTGAAAGACTAATAGATTTTGGATAGTAAACTTTTATGTGTGGTAAAAAATAAGTATAATTTTTATCTTAATTTCAGTTTTTTTTATAAAGAAAGTAATAATGCGGTTTAAGTCAGAAGGAAATTAACTGATAACATTCTGAGGTGGCAGAACTCCAGTTTCAGGACTAGTGGGCAATTTTTTGATTCGGTAAATTTGATATTAAATTGCATCAAGACCTTGAAACACCAGCCTATAATAACATAAAACTGATAAGAGATTGAATTTATAAAAATATGAAAAATTAAAATAATTTTTGAGTTAGCTAATATTTTTAAACAAAGGTTTCATTTACAAAGAAGAATTGATTGATTGGATAATGGATTTTTTAAAATTTTCAATTAAATGCTAAAGTATCGTTTAATGACATCATTAGTTGTAACAGAATATAATATTAATTATGCAATTGTGTTCTGCAGCAAAATCGTGAGACCTTGCACCGCTCGTGTAAAGTTTTCCGTACGCCCCTTACAAGAATTAGATCAATGACGAAGATTCTAATTTCAAGAAATATGTTATTAACATCTTGAAGAAGAATTTCATGTTTTTACCAGAAAATTCGATTTTCTAATTTTATGGAATTATTATTTTTCTCAAAAACGGCCATACCGATTTAAAAAAATTGTAACCTATTTCATAAAATTCGATAGTTGGTTTAGAATCAGCAAGAAAGTGCAAACCTGTTCGTCCAAGTTTTAGCCAAAAATCTTTAACCGATCTTAAAAATTTGGGAATTGAGCTGATTAGTTTTTAGTAAAGATTGTATGGACTGTAGCTTAGTAACTATTAAAAAAAATAGTGGTGTATGGAATCATATTTAAAAGTATTTAAAATAATCTATTTGAAACCATTTAACATTCCTCGAACATTTCTTTACGGTACGGAAAGTTTCAGCAATTTGCCTTAAGGCACGATGCCATACACTACTAGTTTCTTCCAAATTTGCCAAAATAATCAGAATTTATTGCAAACAGAAAAAAATCTTTGAACTAAAATACATTTCAGACACTTTGACAATTTCAATGTTCAATTTGAATAACCTATTCTATGTATTCTTTTTTATATACCAATAATTCTTTTTTACAGAGTTAATTGTTATTGATTCATTTTTGCTGTGATTCAAATTAAAATTGTCCCAACATCTTTATTTACCGCATGTAGCAGGTGTTTTATTACTTTGTAATATCACATTGCATTTGAGCTTCTTTTAGAATTTTCCTGTAATGAAATATTCATAGAAATTAGCTCGTAAATAATATGGTATCGTACAAGACGTGTAGCCATTTTCTATTTCAAGAATATTCTCAATCATAATTGAATTATTTAAAGCGAACTATAATAGATACCTGGAAAATTGATTGAAAGCGACATAAGAGCTATAATTATTGTGCAAATGAAAAATAAGGACTCTTTGGTTCACCAAAGTGCACTGATTAGGAGCAATTAGTTCGATTTATTTGATAAAGGCAAAATTAATGGGAATGGAGTTAGAAGTGGAGTTATAATTGAGCAAGGCAGAGCCTTCTAATTCTAATTTTATTTGGTAATGCTTCATGAAAAATGTTGCATTTCCACAAGTTCCATCGATTTTGAACACAGATGGTTTTCATCAGATTACACTTATTTAAGGCATTTTGCCTTAAGGCAAGTTTCATAAACTTTTTGATACGTATACATAATCAATAAGAAATGAGATTCAGCTATTTAGATAAAAATTCGACTCAATCAATTATCTTAATTAGGGTAGGGCGGGGCTAGTTGAGCATAGGGGCAAGTTGAGCAATCGAAATATCTCGAAAACTATTCACCGTCCGTTTAGGCATTATTTGGCGGAAAGATAGAGGTTTAGGAGAAATAAACATCCCGCGATCGCTAGTGGCCGCTGGACAAATGAGTGAGGCTCACGGGCGTTTTGTTTATTTTGAGACCAAAAAGTAAAAAAGTCATTCATCACGAGTTTTCGTCTAGTTTAGTCAAATGTTATTTATTTTTAACCAGGTAAATTTTATTCTTTCATATAATTATAGTACTTTTAATATGCACAGAGATTCTGGGTATAAATCTCATGGTTTTTTTATAAACTCACTTTTATTTTGAAATTCCGAGTTGGGGTTAGTTGAGCATAGTTGCTACACTTGTTCTGTCACAAAGACAATTACCATTAACTTCCAGAAATTAATTATTATTTTTAAGATTTAAGCTAAGTCTATGAGTAATGATATTTTATTTGATGATTTTAAACAAAAATGCTGAATATAATGGTAAAATAATTCCTAGGTTAATTAATCGTTAATTATTCAAAGCAAATTACTATAAGTTTTGTTTTCTCTGTCCATAAAGACTATAAATATAGAACTGGTTATTAAAAACTTATTTTATTTCATCACTGATCGACATTGAACCTATAATTTCATTATAATTTCTTAGTGCTCAACTTGCCCCACCTATGGGGTACATTGAGCATACTTGACTTTTTGCATTTAAACAGCTGTAGCTTTTAAATTTTACTTATTATTAAAAACTAGTATTAATACTTTTGTTAAGCAATAAACAACAAATCCATTAAGCCGTATAGCAATTTATTGAGACTTCTCATTGGGGAGCTACATCCGTTTAAGTAAAAATTTGCTCAACTAGCCCCGCCCTACCCTACCATTATTCCAAACTTTGATGAATCGTTTTGATTCAACCACTTTTCATAGGCCTATAATATTTTGGGTTGTTTGAACTCTATCCCCGTTTGGAGTTTCATTAAAGATGCCAAATAAAAATTTTAACATTTATTTACAAAAAAAAGGCTCGGCCGATCTTTGCAGACGCCCATCAATCATGTGATCGATTTTTAAGGTTTTTTTAACCCCATCCACCCTTTTGTTGATACGTGATGGTATTTTAAATAATACCTCCCCACCTACCATCACGTGTATCTTTATTGTACCTACCAAAAAAAATCGTTACACTTTTGGAAATTTTCTGAAAAATTTTGATTTTTTTTTAAATTTATGTAAACAAAAAATACAAATGATATCTTACTAGATCCCCCTCCTTACGTAGTAACTTTTTTGCCAACAACTAGTCAGGAGGATTTCCAAATGGCATAGGTATTTCATTACTTTTCAATTTTCAAAATCAGTTAAGGATTTTTTGCGAAAACGTGGACAAAATAGTAAAAGGATATGGCAATTTTCTGCTTATTCTAAAGAAACGGCTTTTAAATTTTTGAAATCAATTCAGCCGTTTTTGCAAATTATTGCTCCAAATGTTTATGATAATTTGAAAGTTTTTATAATATTCTAAATTTTCAATCATGGTAGTTTTTTTAAATATATTATTATTATTTGACAAAATTTATTATATTGTAAAAAATATTTGGAATTTAAAATTGATATTTTTGTTATAATAATAAACTTACACTTAAGATTATAATTTTATTACAAACAATAAAAATTTAAAAAATGCAAAATGATATTATCACCGTGCAAATCTAGAAATTATGTGTAAAAACGATATGCCTCCAATTATTGTTAAGGTTTCAAGATAAAGTGATTGTTGAAGTCATAATATTTGCTATGCAAATAAAATGGTTTGACCGATGTTTATGACTGAGAATCCGCCAATATCTATTTTTCATTCCGCAAAGCCAACGGTTGGGAAACTTTTTTAATCATTACCCCAAAAAATTGTTGTCTAATTTGATATTACCCCCATGACAAAGAGAGATTACCCCCCATATGGACCCGTAGCAAATACAGTGAATAGCAATTAGAAATACATACTTCTTATCCCAAAAATTCCATTTTTACCCCATTTGGGGTATTTTACCCCGGTTTTCCGACGACTGTCCTATGGGATAAGGCTTGGACACTCTGAAGAATTTTTTAAATTTCTTGACATTTTTTTTATAATTTGTAATTAATAAACACATACGGCCCTAAATTTTTATCCTCCTATAAAAAAAATTTGAAAAAATTAAAAAATATAATAATTAAACTTAAAAACAAATTTTTAAATCTAAACAAAATTTTACGTATAAATTAATCAAAAATTTGGAAACATATTATAAGATTTATATTAGTATTAATTGCTTTATAAATTAAAATAAATTTTATTTTTTTAAAAGCAATTAATATTAATATATATTTTATGCAATGTTTCCAAATTATTTGTTAATTTATGAGTAAAATTTTGTTTTTATATTCTGTTTTTTCTTCAAATTGTGTTGTGGAAGGGCGAAAATTTAGAAAAAAATTAATTTAGCAAAGAATTTATTTCATTTAAAATGGATAGAAAATTTTATGATACATACTGGTATGTAGATTCTAGGTATATAGGTACATGTATCTAGGAGTAGAAAAAAATCTTATTAGAAACTTTTTAATCCAATTGTCCAATCCAAACTACTTATTAGATATAGTATTAGTAAATGTGATCATTTTGTCCATATTCGTGTAGTAGACCTAAAATAAATTCATGACAAAAAAAATTATTATAATACGTCCATATATTCATTTACAATTATGTATACAATCAAGTAACATAACACGTATTACACCAAACAAGTACATAATACTTTCTTAAATTAATTATCAATTTTGTACAATTTTATTTTATAAAACAAGCTTTAATATTTGTTAAAATATAGATTTAGAATACTTAGAAGCACATAGTTACATATAAGTGTCCTTTGCATAATTTCATAATGGGGCGTCCATTAATTACGTGAGCGATTTTTTAAAGATTTTTGGACCCCCTCTCTTCCTTGGTGATCCATGGTGATATTCCAAATTAACTCCCCCCCTCTCCCACCAAACATCACGTGTATTTTTAGTTACGTGAAAAAACTTTGAATTATTTTTCAAGATGTTTGAACTTTTTAAAAAAAATAGTTAAAAAAATAAATACACGTCATATCTTACTATACTCCTCCCCCCCACATGATATAATGATATTTCGTGATTTCTTGTAAAACTCCCCCCACCCCCTGAAAACCTCACGTGATTAATAAACGCCCCCTAAACGTAACTAAATTTATTTATTTCTCAAAATAGCACTAACATTTAGTTATCTAATAAAAAAAATTAATGTTAGATTGTACTCACAGGTAAGATTTTTTACGTATATTTATGTTTTAAGATAAAAACTCTTTGAATATTAAAAAATGAAGTACGATAGTTTTACTACCGACTTCATAAAATATTCTTATTTCGCAATTAAAAAAAGATTCAAAAAAGATTTCCTAAGAATGTATACAATAAAACCCCGTTAAAACGATTTTTTGCATAATACGTCACTTTACGCCGGTGCCTTTAAGCATATTTTTACTTTGAAACATAGTGTCTCTATCCCGTATAATACGCTTTTCCGCTTAAGACGTTTTGCTTCAGAGGTTTTAAATCATCTTACTGTATTTTATGCAATTTTGTGTAAGTTCTATACATTATAGTTTACTTCAAATGGAGAAAAATATATCAAAATTAACCTGGTTATAATTACTTAAGTATTATACCATATAACATATAAATAATGTTATATAACATATATTAATTATTATAAACATTAATATATACTGATAATTAAATTTTAAATCGATAAATCTATAACTCTGATTAAAATTGCGCTGCAGCAGCAAAGCGTGAAAATATAAAATTTTCAAAATTTTTAAGCCTACACTTATAATAAATATAAATTCTATATGTAAAATATTTAATTAACCTTATTGATAAAAATATATATTTTTAATTTTTTCAAAAAAATTTAAAAACATGCATATTAAATAGGAAAATATTTATCCCAGCATTCTTATAAGAATCCAGTAAAATTATTAATTACTCCATTAAATACCCTGTAAAGACCTTCTAATGATCATACACTAATATAGTCAACGTCTGCAATATATACACGTTATTGAAATTATTAACTCTCAACTAATTTGGAAAAAAATATCTGTTATGAATCCAATAACCTTTTTTGATATTTCAAAAATCCCAACAAGATTCCTACACTAATCCAATAAGAACCGCATCAATTTTTCTCCTATTGCGTAGTATCATTCTGGAACCCTCCATCCTTCATATCCTGCATCTCCTGATCAGTAGGCAGATATTTCTCTAACGCTGCCACTAATTCTATTGGATCCGTATATGGACCATGTCTTTCCACAGGCTTACCAGTCATATCTACTATGAATTTAGTAAAATTCCACTTAATAAAACTTCCAAATGTACCAGATTTTCTTCGCTTCAGGTATTTCCATAAATTGCATCCAGAAGAACCGTTGACATCAGTTTTCTGAAACACATCCCCGATGTCCAGACCAAGGTCTTCTAAATAAGTCTTGATTTCTTCACTTGTTCCTGGTTCCATGCCGAAGGAATCGCTGGGGAAGCAGAGAATTCTCAGTCCTGCATTATGAATAGAAGACAATTATGGTAATGTAAATATTTTAAGAATTCTTGTGTGTGAAATAATCATGTAGGATTCAATGAAAATATATAATATTGTGATAGCAGCCTAAATGTATTGGCAGCCTAAATAATTAAATAAATGTTTACAAATAGAGCGTGCTATTATAAATTATGTACGCTTTTATTGATTAGCATTATGAACTAGAATATAATTAATAAACAGGTGAGCAACAAAATCGAGTGGTGTTTAGAAAAATGTACCAATATGCTATATATGATTCATATTAGAAATGGGCTTATCATATCCGAAGCCGGATCGACTTGGATTTGACTCCGCTTCAGGGAGGAGTTATATCGCTTAACAACTCCACGACTCCGACAACTTTGAAACCGAAATACTCGACACAAATGTGTTCTATAGTGCGTTGTTTATGCATCTAAGGTTTTGTCAAATCCCAATTAATTTTTTGAAATGGAAATTTATAAATAAAATAAAATTAAAAAATATCAATAAAATAATTTTTCTAAAAAATTCACAAGTTAATGACGAGAAAGCAAAACATTTATCATAAAATATTTTCACCAAATAATAATACTTCTGGGAATAGTACTTCTGGGAATTTATTCGTGGTGGTCTCATACCATGAACCTGCCTTCAGGCAGACTACCATTTATTATTTATTATGTTGGCATGGTACAAGAATTCCAAAAATGATGATTGACAATCTCTGTTTTAAGTATTTTATCAATTATAATTTCTTACCTTGTTCAAAAAATCGCGATTTGAGTTCAGCCAGCTGCTGGAAATTAGTCAAAGCCAGTCCACATTTGGTCGCAATATTGACAATAAGACAAACATGCCCTCTGTATTTGTCGAATCTTACTTCTTCGCCATTTATATCAGTTTCGACAAAATCATATATAGAAGTTGCCCTTTTGTAATCAATTGATTTGTCTTCGGCGCTCAAAAATTCGTTGTCTTCCTCCACCATTTTGGATGAAGAAAATTTGAAATTTGGACACTAATGGTAAATGATACACTAACGTTGGATGAAGCTGGATAATTAAATTCACTAAATAAAGGATGGTTGAATTTAATATATCTCACTTTTTTATATTATTTAAACACTGATCAGTTGTTTTGATTTTTATTGGATTATTTTTATATGTTAGATGAAATTGGATAATATTTTTACACGTTAAGTAAAAAATGGCTGAGTCTCCATATTTTACATTTATTTATATATTTTAGTCAAACAGTGATCTGATTTTGATAAGCTTTTGTTCGACTTTTTTCAACTAGAGCAATAGTTTTTAATTTTATTTTTATGGTATTTTATTTATCTATTATTTTAAATCGAATAATTTTGTTTAAAAAATCATGGACCTTTTTGCTTGTATATCAAAATAAGCACATTTTTTCTGTTCATGTAAATTGGAATTGATACAACATACTTTCTTTTGCAACAGTTTGTATCCTTGTTTTGGAATTAATTTATATTCATTGTGTTTATTTTATTTTTAATATATTTTTTGTATGTATAAATTCACTTTCAATATTTATTTTTTATTCACTATAACACATGTGTGTAATATTATTATTTATAATAATATTTAAGGACAATCTTCTTCTGGAATTAACTATCTTCTAAAATGTACAAAATAATCATTTCTTGTAAAATGTATTTTGAATACTTATAGTTCACTCACCAATTCTTATTTTCATTTATATTTCAAAAATGTTTTTTTTAAATATCTTGGATTTACTTTTAATTATTGATTGCAATATGCAACTAAACTTCGTTATTATTTTTAATAATTATAGTATTAATTTCTCTAATTTTTTTGTTCGCATTTGTATATTGAATATGTATTTTAAAATACCATCAAATTATATTTATATTGAATCTTGTTATGATTCTTGATTGCAATTGTTAATTTTACTTAAATATTTTTTCCTTTAATAATTTTATTCATATTCGAAAAGTATCTCCAAATTATTTTTTTCCTGCTGGTTTATCTAGTAATTTTTATCTTCTTTCATTAACCAGATATTTATATAAAAGTATCTTCAAATTACATTAATTTTGTCTCTTGTTGTAATTCCTGGTTGCAATTTATAACTATATGTTTTAATTTATTTTGAGCAGTTTTAGTATTGGAAATATAAAAATAAAAAATTTTCATATATTAAAGCACTTTCAATCTCAATGTAATACATCTTGAGATTCTATATTAATATTTTATAAATAATCACAATTTTATATATTTTTTTAATATTTTTTGAGCAGTTTTAGTCTTAGAAATGTGTAAATAAAAAATTATGATATATTTGCCAAGCACTTGTAATCTCAGTTTTATATTTCTTGAGCCTTTTTATTATTGTTTTATTGACAATCACTGTCTATGTAACAGCACAAATATTTTATTATAGCATTTAAAATATTTGATATTTAATATAACTGTGTCAGTTACGTATGTTACTTCAATACATTCTCCAAATCATTTCTTCTACTTTAGTTTTAATATTTGTAAAAAATAATTATTTTAAATACTTGGAATAATTTTATTTTAATTTTCTATCATTTATTTTTTAACTTGTATCTTATGAATTTCTGACAAGAACTACGTCAACCGACTTGTTCAACTTCAGTTTTCCACATACTGGAAAGCAAAGTTTCCCACTTTTCTCTTTATCCATATATATATTGGTCATCGTCACTAATTATTGATGTCCAGATCCGCCTCTGAATAATTGAAGAGTAATCATAAGCAGAAATAGATCGCTTTGATGAATGAAATTAATGTGTAATTCATTAATATATAATGTATGATACATGTGTACTGCTACCTCAAGAATCTATTTTTATTAGTTAGATGGTTCAATAAGGGGCGAATAATAGAATTGATATTTTTGGAAACTGTATTTCTGGAAACGATCTTGTGCCGTCGAACCTATTGATTTGAAAGACTTGGAGTTGGTAAATTAAAATATAAAAAAAAACAGGTGAAAGATTATTAAAAAAATTATTCGTAGTATTGTTCTGCCTGAAGACAGGTCCAGTGTGTAGACACACAATATATTAACACCTCTTTCTCCACCTTTATCAATAGTTCTAGATCATACTTTACAAACTTTTGCTTCCATACTTCTATATCCTAGATCTATGCTATCAATTTCCTATATTTTCTCTTGGATGCACGCGTCCTACTCCATCATGTTCTTCTATTTTATCTTCGGTGATGTCCTACTTTCAAAACTTTTGCCTTTATACTTCTGCATCCTAGATCTATGCTGTCAGTTTCCTATATTTTTTCTCTGATGCAAGTTCCTAGTTCATCCTGATATTCTGTTTTATTTTCGGTGATGTCCTGCAGTAGCAACTCTTTTGCCAATATGGCTCCAATCCATGTATTTTTCTCCTAAAAATCGTATCCAATAGATAAATATAAATTAAGTCTTCAATTTTATTTATTATAAATGAAGACTCTTTATTCAATATGGGTTCAATCCAGCTTGCTTTCCTCTTCGCAATCGTATCTTATAAATTAACTAGCATAGAGTCTGGAATTTTATTATTTTTTTGAACAAAGACTTCATAACGTGGTCGAGGACAGTTTCTTCTCTTCTACACAATCGTATCAAATATTGAAATTTAGAGACCGATTCTGCCGCATAACAGACAAATGTTATGGCAAGGCTGCGTTATAAAGAACATTCAATACTAATTCGTTCTAAATATTGACAAAAGTCATGTGATTATTGTGCAGCCAGGCGTTTTCTCAGGTTGTCAGATATAAAACCTAACCTAGAAACCGCACAAATATCAAAAAAACAATCTTAGATAACAGGGTCTTTCTCACCCAGCTTCATAACATACAAGTGAGGTGGCGGTTTATGTGTAAAACGCATTATGCACAAAAATAAATTAACAATTACTAATGTCTTCATAAAATACATTGTCAAAATAAAGCAAAATATTAACTAATCCGTTACAAATGTCGCCTATAGGCGACATCCGCTGAACTACCTGTGTGTACGAGTGTCGCCTATATGCAACATCGAGCGTGTCGAATTTTGCTTCGAAAAAAAGTTATACAGACATTCAAGTTATTATAAATAGATATAGTTATTATAAATAGATTAGTTAAAATTATTTTTTCACTGATGTCTTGTGTTAATGTACATTTTCCTCTATTTGCATCAATTAATGCCTTTATCAGCTTCAACTACACTTTTAAAACGTGGTGCACCTTCGATTTTCAGATACAAATAATAAAAACGGTTTTTTGGGGTGCTGTCACTTAAAACCATAGTAAAAGAAAAAGATATTTTTTGAATAATCTAATATAAATATACTAATGATAATAATACTAAGCCTAAGACTCAGAAGTAATATTTGTTTAATAGAAGAAAACAAACCAACAGTGCCTAGGTAGAATAAGGCTAAAAATTTCAAATTTAAAATTTACTAAAAAAAACTGTGCAAATTTGTAATAAATAGTTATTATAAAAATGTATGATTTTATTTAAATTTGAGAAAATATTTATCGGCTCTTTGTCTCGTAATCAGAAATAATTTACGCATTTCATGCGTGTTATTTTTATCCTAGAATTGTTACCTGCGTCAAAATTATCTTTTGTTTTATATATATAATATATATATTAATGTTTCTATTACTAAATATTCCCAGCAACGAGTCAAAAAAGACAACACTAATTATATAGTAATATAAAATTTTAATAATTTTTTATTATCACATCTCAATTTCTGTTCTTTTTCAATACAAAATTATACATCATATAGTTAACTATTCTATCAAATATAATATCGTAATAATTATTTATCATGATTATATTATAATTGGTAATAAAACGCTTTCATTACAAGTGAAAGCAGACCTTGAAAATACTCTAAAGAAAACGTTATTTTTAAATTATTTACAATAAATATAATATCGTTCGAAAATCGGTCAAAGTTATAGAAAAATAATTAATATTTTATATTTATAGGAAAGTTGTTCTAACTCAAATATTTATACAAAAATTTAGACTGGTCATTTATATTCTTAGCACTTTCTCTAATAAAATAAATGACTATTGCCAATAATACTTTTATGAGCCAATTGCAATTCAAAGACTTTATATAAGTTGCAAGTCTTTAAAAAATTAATTAATACTTTTTTCTTAATTTCTTAGCCATCTACTTAAAATTAAGTAACAGTAAGGTCTTGATAATTCGACATCGTTTTAAATATTTAGAAGCGATAAACTTAACCAAATTGTTAATGAAATTAAATTTGGAAAAAGATAAATGCATCTCTTATTTGATTAAGTAAATATCGTTATTTTCAAGATATATCCTACTGTGCGTTCGAATAAACTCAAATCGAAAACTTGATTTTCATAAAACTCATTTAAAATTACATCAGCATTTTTATTGTTCCGACCTTCCTGAGTATTCCTGTTTTGTTGTTCTTGATCTAATGGTACCAAGTAGGTAATTGACGCATTTGGTTGTTCATCATTCAACCTGTAACCTTGTGGAGGACGCACCAATCGTCTCTGTTTGATTGCTGCCTTAGGAGCAACACTTTGCACTGGCTGGTATCGCTGCTGTTGATATTCAGGTTCTGGTTGTGCATATCCGCGTTGTTGTTGTTGGTATTTCTGTTGATTATATTTATCTTCTGGCACTGGAACTGGTACTGGAACAGGAATTGGAGTCACAGAATATCCGGCATTTACTAAAGCTTGGAATTCATCTTGAGTCAAAGGACGGTCCTTGGGACCAGGTAATCTGATTGGAGGAAGTTGGTTTGGGCTGCTGTCTTGGCTTGATTCTGGTTTTAAGCTTTTTGAAGTAGGTTGAGTTTGAGAAACATATATAGAAGATCTGGAAGCTTGTGGCTGCTGATGAGGTTGCTTAGCGCCTGGGAAGAAACCTTGTGCTTGGTTTTCGAAGAGACTTTTCAAGAATTCTTGATCTTC